CTCCAGCACCAGTGCCATATTCTCCAGGGTCTCCTTGTATTCCAGTACACAGAGGAGCTCAAGGACAGGATCTGTAATAACATAAATTGTGCGAGCCAGCAACAGCAGATGTTAATGGAATTTTGGGGCAGCCATAGTGGCTACCAGTGCAGCTCCACTGTTGTTCCTCTGCTTAGAGATGAGGGAGAAATCCTCACATTTGACTCCAGCAGAGTCCCTTCTCCCAAACCTATTCATTTAGCCTTGGTGCCAGAAACCATGATTTGTCCTAGTGAAAATAATGATGTCACCAATATGGCTAGAGCAACTTGTAACATTTGCAAATACATCATGTTTTCATGGCTTGACACATATATAGCCCTTCTGCCAGGTACTGTCTCCAGTAAAAAGGGCCAGGTTCAATTTTCTAGAGATTCCTTCTGAAACCCTAAACAATAATGGCTCAAGCCTCCACCCAGAAAACTGGGAAATTATAGCTACCAGCCTAGACACCATTGACAGGCAATTCTTCCCCACTTGTCAGCACTGAATCCAGGGGTTTAAAACAAAGAGAACTTGACTAGGGGGACAAAAGAGGAGACAACAGAATAAAACTTTGGAAAGCCAGCAATTAAGAAATTAATAATATCTATTAAGAACTCCTCCCATCCCCACAGTGTTTTAACAATAGTCCCAACCTAAGTCCTCCTCTGGTGTTGTGAGTGGTTAATGCACTCTAGTTACTTCCTTTCTCCCCAGCTTCCCCACTCACAGTGTGATGACCTGGGTTGGTGGTATCAAAGAATTCTGGCAGGTGAGTCTCCAGCCCCTAAGGAAAGAGTAGCCTGGGCTGCTTTCCTGGTGCTACCACCTAACCCAGATGCAGTGATTTCAGCTTTGCTTGCCGAGTAGGGAGATCCACTCTGGAGTCCTTCAAATAGGCTGTTACTCTCTGCTGCTTCAGCACAAACCACTTCAGCTCTGCTGTGTCCACCACCTCAAATCAGCCTCAGTTCAATACTGCTGCCTCAAAGCCATCTGCTGCCTTGAAGGTCCTCTCTGGAGAGGAATCACTAGTATATAGGTCCCTTAACAGGGTTCTTACTGCCAGAGAGGCACTTAATGGAAGGTAGGAGGCCCTTACCCAAGTGTGCCTGACTGTGGTTGCAGTCTGGCTGACCCCTCACCTTAGGCACATTTTGTGTAGTTCCTCTATCCTTTCATTTCCCAAAAGGGACAAGAGAATGTTAATGCTCCCCAATGGAAAACTTCACTGTGTTTTAACCAAAATGCCCCCAGACTGTCAGAGAACTGAAATGGGCCTGGCCCATTCAGCCATTTCCCCTCACTCACCAACAGTGGGCTCCCTCCCCTACAGAGCCCATCCTTCTGGAGTACTGAAGCAGCTCTGGGCCACTCTTCTCCAACAGGTGTCAATAATGAGCTCTCTAGTCTCTGTCTTTAGCCACAGGGCTTACACATGTACCATGGCTATCGTGCCCCTCTATATGACCTAAATAAATATAACAATGCTGGGCTTCAGTCAGCCCTGCTGGCATAAGCCAAAGCACAGGGCTGCTGCAGCAAAAAGTTTCCCTGGAGGTGGTTTGTGCTAGTGCAAGGTGTCCAGAACCCTTGTCCCCACAGCTAACCAGCATGGCACAAAGATGTGTGTGTGACACTAACTGGGGAGGGGAAGTGGCCAACGTAGCCAGAGGAGCGGGTCCATTCAGCGTGGCACTCAAATAGACTCTACCAGCAGGATTCCTATGAAACTCCTTCCACAGCTTAAAACTGCCCCCCCCCTTCAGAACAGCTCGGGGAGGCAGTCAATGCAACCAGCACCTGCCCTTCCAGAGGGTGAACCCTCTGAGGTATAGCTAGCTCCTTCCTAGAGGAGTGATTTGAAGCATAACATATAACCATGCTCTGCGACATACATCTCTGTACTTGTATTGGAGGTTTCTGATTGCGCTCTGAGGACCTGATCCTATAAACTACCCCAGGTTAGCGCTTACTACCATGGCTAATTCCATTCAAGTCAATTGGCCTAATTCTCATTTAAAATAAGGCCACTTTTACACTGCTCAGGGAGGGCAAAGAGGCCTTGATGTTGGTATAAAATTCACAGCCACTTTAAGTTTCCTTTACAGTGATGGGGTCATGTAAAAGTGCCTTGAGTATAAATGGGAATCAGGCTCACTTGTCCAAAAACATGAACATGGTTGGTATCTTTACCTAAAAGCCTAGGTAAAAATACAGCCTTAGAACATGTACAGTTTGGGCACAGTGTATTAATTATAATACAAAAAGAGACACAGACAACAAACCTCCAGTTTTTAATTCTGTGGTATGCTTTCTTCACTTTCTGATCTCAATCTATTTTCATTCTTTGATTTCCAATAAATGTTTCTTTTTGTTCTTTAAAGTTGGCAAATCTGTGTATGATGGAAAAGATCTGGATGGTCTTCAGTTTAAGATCCTCAGTCTCCATTGACATTCAAAGTGGGGAAAACTCTCTTCTTTCTCAGTTTCTGAAGACTAGAGCTTCTCTTTTCAGTTTCAAGCTGTTCCCATTTGCTTTGATGGTTCCTCATTTTTTTGTCCTGGGCAGGACAATGGCTAGGTGCTTGAAGTCAGTCTCCTCTGATTGGAGAGGTAGCCCCTTTCCTACCTTATTGATTTGCCGCTGCCCTATTATGACATGATGCTGAAGTCACACCACAGTTACAATTTTCTGCATATACACATATATATCTTCATAACAATAACCAGTATACCTATCTCTTAAAGACTATTGAGTTTGGTGCATTAGAAGCTTTGATATACTCTTGCAGTCAAATAACATAGTATGCAATCAGTTGGGTTAATTGCTTATTTTGGGAGGTTTGAACCTTCTGTTCCCTCCTAGGAGGGTCTGGATCCTGAATGTCACAAATTCCCTCTATTTATACATACTCACTATTTATTTATTTATTATTCAGTGATTCTCCAGTCAGGATCTGGACCCCATTGTGCCAGGTGCTAGGTTACTGCATTTTATGTGACAAATTAAAGAAACCCATTACAGAAAAGTAATAGTTATGGCTTCTAATTCAATGGGTCACATTGTTACTTTCTGTGTTCACTTTGGGTCAAGTAGTGGTCTCAGTTACACTAGCAGCAACAATATGGAAAAACATCAGTTTATTTATGCTGGCATAAGTAAGAACAGAATTTGGCCTGTGTATAAATACCATAACTTAAAGAAATTATTCCTAGTTCCTACCTCCAGGGAAAAAAACCACAACCCTATGTTGTTCTGTGGGGGAGAGTGAAAGGCAGGATACTAGTGAATCCAGTAACAATACTGTGCACCCTGATTTTTAAAAGAATTCAACCATCTTTTAGTATTAGCCGAAAGGGACATTGCTTAGCTTGGCCTCAAATGTCCTCCTATCCCTTTTATTATATTGGTTTCTAAGCTCCATGTAACTTTTACAGGGACTGAGGGAAAGGAAGAAGAGAGGGACTGGTTAAAATTTCCTCCTTGATTAAAAATGTATCAGTGCCAGCCAGGAGTGCCACCATAATAAGCAACTCTACAACTAAAAAGAAATATCAGGTGGGAAAAATCCATCATTGAAGAAAGATATTTTCAGACTTTCCCTATAGAAAAAAAGTTAGAAAACTATAGCTTTTTTGTCTTTTTTTTTTAATTCTAACTGCAATTATTATTATTTATATTACAGCAGAGCTGAGAAGTCTCTATTAGCACTCATAACATTTTCTCAGCATTGCTGATTCTGGTGCATGCTGACTGCAGATATCAAAGGATTTCCCCGTTTATGTACAACACTGGACATTACTAAGGTGTTCTCCTTCCTCTGAAGCATATGATGTCCCATCTAGTGACACTGAGACCACTTAGAGAGAGATAAAATGAGTCTGCTCTACAGCCTTAGCTAACAGCCAGTTGGCTTTTAGCTCATGCAGTAGAGGCTCATGCACTAAGCTCCAGTGGTCCCCGCTTTGATCCTGCCCGTCGACCATAGGCACCAACTCTGTGGGTGCTCCAGGGCTGGAGCACCCATGGGGAAAAATTGGTGGGTGCTCTGCACCCACCGGCAGCCAAGGTCCCCGTCCCCGCTCTCCTCCCCTCCGTGCACCGTGTCCCCGCTTCTCCTCCCAGCACTTGCCACCGCGAAACAGCTGTTTTGAGGTGTAACAAGCTGTGGGAGGGAGCGGAAACATGGCGCACTCAGGGGAGGAGGTGGGGCCAGGGCAGGGATTTGGGGAAGGAGTCCAATAGGAGAAGGGAGAAGGCAGGGGCTCGAACACCCACTGGCGCCAGGAGAAGTTGGGGTCTATGTTACACATTCATGGATTCCAAGGCCAGAAGGGACCACTGTGATCATCTAGTCTGGCCTCCTGTATAACACAGGCCATGGAACTTTCCCACAATAATTCCTAGCGCAGATCTAAGGAGCTTAGCCCTGCTGGCTGTGCTAGACTATCCCAGGCCTTGTATACAAGGACTGAGATTTGTATCTGATCACTGCAGAAAAAAAAATGGTGAATGGCAAAGCTTCTTTTTCTCCCCTCCCTGCCATGAGTACAAACACAAGGACTGAAATAAGTTGGTGCACGGTGTATTACATTGTGTAACATTTCAGACACCTTTGAAGTCATCTGATAAGGCTACATATTAACACTTGGCTGATTTACGTTAGCATTTGGCTATGGCGACATGTACTCTTTGCCCCACTGTATTTGTCTACTTGCTTACAAAGTATTCATTCCAAGATTGGTGACGCTAATATGGAAGGATAGGAGAGTGGATGGAAGCCAAGCCTGAGATACTGGCAGGTATCAGACAAGCAAACAAAAGGTAGCAAACAGAAAATATTGATTGGCATTTAAAACAGGACTGTAATTCCAAGGTACGGTACTCAGCTGACTCAATTTTTTCCCACACAAATTCACTAAATCATTGTTATAGGGCTAGGCTTTTTCAAAGAAAAAAATTTATTCTTCGCCCACATCAGCATCTTGGTATTGTTTTAAAGCCTGTTTTCCCCCTTGTTTTGAACCAATACATTAGTTAGGAAATCCAAGCACAAGAAATTCTGTTAATTACAAAGAGGTTCAAAATGTAAATATTATGGTTATGAAGGCCATATAAAGAAAAAGACGGACAGACATTTTTAAGTGGAGAGAGACATGCTTCATTATTGTTCTTAAAAGTTGATGAAAACATTGCATAAACAAACAGCTGTTTTGTTATAATTAAAACATTTCTCTCCAGTCTTCTAAATCCAAGAACAACAATACAGGAGAAACAGAGGGAGAAACAAACTTGAAACAAACATGAAACTGACCAGTCTAGTTTTATTGTGCAAACTGAGTGAAAGAATAAAAGTTAAACAAACAGTATGATTGGTGACATAGATTTGAAGAGACCATCTTCTCATGGGTCACTTAGTTCACCTATCCATTTTCTTGAATCATGGTGGAATTGATTTCATGCTTCCGAAACTATCCATGATCAATGGGTTTTTCAAGTCTCACCTTGAATATCTCCAGCAACATTCCTTGCAGCTTGTTCAAAGATCCTGGCAATGACGATCATAAAAGTTTACGTAAGATTTAACCTTAACATCCTTGCAGCAATTTAGGCTCATCAGTTCTTTCCCCTTCGACTAATGAGAACAATTCCCCTTTTTATTGTATTCCCTTAAATATGCATACAGACAGTAATGCCTATTCAGCCTTCTTTTGTCCACATATATTCTTCTAATCTTTTCTCATGCTGCAGGTATTATTTACCAAAGTTTTCAGCATATTTGTTGTTCTCCTCTGAACACTCTTCAGTTTGTCTGCATTAAAAGACGATGCCCAAAATTGAACCCAGTGCTGTCAATTGAGGCCTAGACAATGCAGAGTATAGTGGAATAATGACCTGAACTGTTACATGTAATGCTCCTATTTCTACAACACCTACAACATTTGTCTTTTTTTTTTAACTCCCTGTAACAGCATCACATTGTTAATTCACTCATATAATCATCCACTATAAACCCCATGTCTGTCTTTGGGGCACTTACAGACTAGCCAGGATTTCCCAGTTCCATGGGCCAAATTATTCCCTCTTACTTTCCTGGGTGAAAGAGACAAAAATCATCATGGATTCCTGGCCAGGGGACTCAAAATGTGGGTCAGCTGCCAAGGCAGCATCATTGCATCTGTCCCCAGACACTGGAGATGGTCCTCTGTGGGATGGGAATCTATGCATGGGAAAGGCAGAATGGGAGCCTGCACACAAGTGCAGTAAGCACATTGTTACCCCAAGAAACTACCAAGGAGGCCACTGACAAAACACTATAGCACAAGTCCTCCGCAAGACCACTTTTTGCACCATGGATCTTGCCTTTAGGGAAGGTTTTAGGAGTAACTGTCAGCAAAAGAAGCCCTGCCTGAACTGTGCTGACAGGGAGATGGGAGAGAGTTGCAGGGGACTGGGATCCAAGGCACAAGGAAGCAGAGTCTCTGTGTGGTTCCTTTTCTAAGGGGATGTCTACACTGGCAAGTTTCTGTGCCACAAGTTATACCACTTTTATTCAAGCGCTGGAATTAAACCGCTGTTGCATGTCCACACTGTGCTCCTTGAGACACTGGAGCACATCCACATTAGCAACTCTTGCAATGGCAAAGAGAGCAGTGCATTGTGGTAGCTATCCCACAGTGCAACTGGCCACAGGGTGCTTTGGGAAGGGTTTGCAATGCCTCATGGGGCAGGCAAAGCATTACATGATGCAGGTTTCCCAATACCATTGTTCCATGGGCATCCTATTGGCTAACTGCTTTTCAACTGAAGTGGGAGGTGGGAGAGTGTGACAGGGCATGTGTGTGTGCGAATGGGGCGGGAGACAGTGTGTTTTGGGGGACAGAGAGTGTGTCAGCATGCTGTCTTGTAAGTTCAGACAGCAGCACGAAGCAACCAGTCCTGAGGGAGGGGGAAACCCCAACATCAGCCCCCACCTCCCCCTCTGGGCTCTCTGCCCAGCAATCTCTCTCTCACACACACACACACACACACACACACCCACCTCTGCCTCTGCCTCTGTGTCCAACAGCATGATCATTCCACATTAATGGTTTGCTTTGTGTCCCGGAGCAGATCAGCACAAAGGCTGTCAGAAATGGTGCTTTGAACGGGGAGGGGCTCATGTCACCAGGGCAGCTGAGTTCAAAACAACAAGCAGAGCAGTCACTTGAGGCATGATGGGACAGCTCCAGAGGCCAATTACAGCACAGAAAGCAATCAAGCGTCTACACTGGCAGTAGAGCACTGGAGCCTCTGCGCACATAACCTTATGGCTCTCGTCGAGGTGGTTTTTTTGCTGCGCTGCAACTGAGGAGTTTCTGCACACAAAGTGGCTTGGCAGTGTGTACACGTCTGCAGTTTGAGCGCAAAAAGCTGCTTTACTACGCAGAAACTTGCCAGTGTCGACAAGCCCTGTGATTGGCACAAATCTCTGGAGATCTCCATATTATGGAAATTCTCCCTCTTCTCCCCAATGGAAACACAATGATGAGAACGGCAAGATGTTTCATGTATTCTGTGTGGATTTTCCACATAAGAGACCAATCTAAAATCAAATAGGGTCATTCCTATGTATCCTATATGGTCATTATGATATGAAGCTTGGAGGAGCCTTTCTGAAGCAAGAAAGGCAGGAACAATGTGCCTAAGGGCTAGTCTAAACTGGCAATGCTTTAATGTGGCTTGTGTGGTCACGGCACAGTGTTGGGAGAGAGCTCTCCCAGTGCTCTCAAAAACCCACCTCCACGAGAGGCATAACGACCAGCGCTGGGAGTGCGGCTCCCAGCGCTGGTGCTCTGTCTACACTGGCGCTTTACAGCGCTGAAATGGGCTGCGCTCAGGGGGGTGTTTTTTCACCCCCCTGAGTGAGAACGTTGCAGCGCTGTAAATGGCCAGTGTAGACGAGCCCTAAATAGGCTTCAGTTAATATTGTTGTCCCTTTGCTGAGCAGTAGCAGAATTCAGGCTCTTGCAGGTTGGTTTTCTGTGATGCAGAGCCAGGTATTTTCTTAGTGTAGTCTAAACAAACAAGTCCTGTTCCCTTGAACAGGGCGGTAACAAATGGCAGCAGAGGCAAATTCCTCTTGCAACAAGCTCAGGTTAGGCATCACTGCAGCATCTAGCCTCAGACTCTCTCCAGGGTGTCTCACAAATATCTTCTGCTTAACAAACTGTCTTTTTTCCCTCCCTCAGCCCCTACACCTTACACCTGGCAAACCACTACTCCCAGCTTGCTGACTGAGACCACATATTTTGAACTTTCTGAGCTCACTTTGTGTTCCAGATGTCCCTATTCTATTCCATAGGTTCTTATGGCATGCTCATCACCATAACTTACACAGATACCCTTAATGACTGTTTGGGAGTGGCTAGTGCACAGAGTATTAGCTCTTTTTATAAGCTGGAGGCTTATCCATCAAAGGTTCTTAACGTACAAGTCACTCATACCTTTCACTACAACATTGTCATAAAAAAAATTACTAACTCTGGTAAATTTTTAGAATCTGTTGTGCTGGAATGGTTGCAAATAGGGCAGTAAAAACACAACCTAATCTCTTCCTGATAAAAGGTGTGTTATAGTATCAAAGGAATGTATGCTCTGTTACATTTTGAATAATAGCATGGTTGTGATCCATGCTGATAAATCAAAGTGAAGGTTAACATTTATCAAGAGCTCACACAGCCATACTATCTTTCCACAACTGCATGAGTTTGGAACTGTGTCATGTTAACTTGGAATTTCCTGGCCTGCATCAGAGGCTTTTTGTTATTTAAACAGGAGAGAGGGGTGTTGCATTTAATTTCCTCATTTTGTTTTGTTAAGAAAAGTAAAAGTATCTGTCCTATAAAATTTACCCAGGAGACCACAGGAGAAGATTTATATTTACAGCTGTCTGAGGTGGGAAGGGAAAAGAGATGCTGAATGGGAAAGAGAAGAAAAGGAAGAAAAAAAGTGTGAAATATGTTAGGAATGGTGAATAAGGGGATGATGGGGAAGAAGAAAAGAAGTCAAGAACACAAAAAGCAGGAGGTGGTCAGGAAAAAGAAGTGACATAAAGAAACAGGTCATTTTTGTTATAAATCCATGAAAATTTGAAGTCCAATATCAGTCAAGTTAACATGTATCTCCTACTCCCAAAACCTTGAAGTAATGAGACAAGAGGCCAGGAGATAGATCGGGATTGGTCAATTGCTTTGTGGAAGGCAGGAATGGAGTATGCAGCCTCCAGTGAGGGGATCTGGTATTGAAGCAGCGTAAAAATAGGAAGCCCATTCTCCTGAAGTGACTCCTGTCTTGAAAATCTTGCCTTTGGGAAGTTGTGGGTTCCCATTATATGGTCATGTGTAGCAAAGGTGAGACCACGCTCAGGTGTGTGGGAATCCTCACTAGCAGCAGCGGAAAAGAGAGAAGGAGGGAGAAAAAGAGGTTAGACAAGATTAATACACCAGTCTTTCAGCACTGGTTTTGATCACAAGTGAAGATGAATTTGGAGTGCTCTCGTCCTAGACCCTACAGTTAGTATTTGCCCACATCACCTAACCAGTACATGCCTACAGTTTATATATTACTATTGTTGTTTGTACAATAGAGGCCCCAACCAGCCCATTGTGCTGGTGCTGAACAGACTCATAGTAAGAGACCGTCCCTGCCCTGAAGAGTTTAAAATCTAAGCAGACAAGACAAAGGGAGGAAGAAAAGAATCCCCACTTATTAGAAGCTGGAGAACAGGGACATCTAGTCAGTGGTAATCAGGGCTTCTCAGCAGCACTGAAAATCAGCTTCAAAGTGGCTGCTAGGAAATTTTAAGTTGGCAACCAAACTTAGAAGATACTTGAAAATGTAACCTACAGGTGACAATATCTGGTCACAGAGCAAACAGGAAAAAAATAAAGTCTCTCAAAGTAAATGAATAAATCTCAGCTGTACATCTGAATACTTACTTTAAGCATCAATTATTTCAATTTAGCTGTGGCCCTTTTTAGATTTCTCAAAAGGAATCAGATGTTCTATTGTGGTACTATTGTGATTTGGCCTCGCTTCCCAAAAATCAAGAAACCTGTTTCATAACCCTTTGCAGACTAAAATAGTGGCAGACTCTAATCAGGAGTCTCATTGCAGGAAACAGGCCTTCCTACAACAGGAAGCGTAGGAGAAACTACTGGAGACAGCCGTGCAAACCAGCCAATTTGCCAAAAAAAAAAAAAAAAAAGAGACAAAATGGCTGTATACTGGCAACTCCTGTAGCAGGAAACCTCTGAATTAAGATCTCAATCTGCACAGCAATTTAACATGTCATCTGCTTCCTGGCAACTGATATTTGGAATCATTTGTATATTGCTTTTCAACTCTGTCTCATAAGCAGTGGCAAGTGATCTCTTCTGCAAAAGCAAGAAAGCCAAGGGCTTTTCCAAATTCTACCCAGAACAAATATTTCTAACCCCTTTTTTCCTCTGTTTTCATCAGTTTATCATTTCTAATTTTGGGGTTTGACATTCTTATTTCTCCTCTGATTTGGGTCCAGGGTAGATTAAGTCACAGCATGGTGCCTGCCAAGGCAAACTGTGATATCCATGAGATAATATAAAAGAACTTGATGGAAGCTAAAAATCACATTCTGCAATGAAGGCGAATAGGAGACTAATGGATTCCCTGTGATTTCTGCTTAATGAGAACATGACAGAAGACTAGGATACTTTGATTTTAAAAAAAGGTCCTTTTCATTTTTCAAGGGCATGAGTTTCAAAAGGGACTAGTAATTTGGGGTGCTTTACTTGAAATAACTTAAGGGAACCTGGTTTTCAAGGAGTCTCATGTTAGTCAATCAAAAACCGAGGCATCCAAAACCATTAGTTACGTCTGAAATCTTGGCCCGGAACAATAAACACCACAGGCTGAGACTTGCACTATTTGGCCAAAGAGGACAGCTTTTCATGGTCAACAACTGCAATAGTGAGAAATACACTGACCCCGTGCTCTGCTACCTCTAGCTGAACTGAGGCAGAGGGTCCAAATCACCAGTCCCAGGTAACACTCTCTTATCAACCAAGCATAGCAGGGATAGATAAGAAACCAGTCCCAGAGGTTTGGGAGCCTCCAGCCAGCTCCACATACAAAGGAGAGTAAGGAATCCATTAATCCTATGCCACAAAAGAGAAAGAGCTGAGATACTCAGTCCCACCCACCGGAAGCCCCCTGAAGCAAAGGAAGAAAAGAGGAGCTACTGAAGGATAGTGAGGCTTGACAGACGTGGTTACAAAGTAGGGTCACCAATTACGAGGTGTTATATGGCCACCTTGGTTATGTCTACACTGTGATAAAAAACCTTCAGCACCAATCTCAGAGCCCGGGTCAGCTGAAAATTGCAGGGTAGACATTTGGGCTCGAGCTGCAGCCTGGGCTCTGAGACCCTCCCCCTCGTGTGATCTCAAAGCCCAGAGTCCAGCCCGAGCCACAGAAGTATACACTGCAATTTTATAGCCCTGCAGCCCATGAACCAGAGTCAGCTGATCCTGAGCCAGTTGTAGCCTTGCAGCAGGTCTTTTATTGCAGTGTAAACATCGAGTTTGCAACAGCCCCCTGAATGGGTGTGTAAAGGGGACATTGAGAGTGCAAGATGCCTCCTCCTGCTCCTGGACAGCCAGCCAGTGCCTTAAAGCAACAATCGAGTCCAGGAGAGGGCATTCCTTTCTTACGGTTTCTACAACATTTTTCACTGTGACTAATTGTTCAGACTGTTTGCAAACTGGTGGCCGTGCGAGTTTGCCACTTGCATTCACCCTATGCAATTGCTTGCTCACCCAAGTCCCATGATTTTGTTTCTGTTAATTCCCTAAGCTTTATAAAAGAAAAGAATACATTTGTGGCTCTGAAGGTGGGCTGGTGGTAGAGCAGATTGCCAGAGGAAGAAGGAGAGAGAACAGTAGATAAGTATTCCACGAGAAAATTTTAGGCCATTTAAAATCTGTTCCCTGTCTTCCTCTGCAAAAGAAAAAGCAGCTTATTTGGCTAGATCCATGGAGCCCAGATTTAAAAACACTTGGCTCCTTCCTGACTGAAAGAGGGAGAAAGGTGTAGCTGACTTTACAGTTTCTTCTCATATTCATACAAAGCAATTGAGTTTGGATGCAGAGTTTTGCATCAGTCAGGCATGCTCCAAAACTGATTTGGGTCACAGATGCCATTGTCCCCACTGTGACTCAAGGAAATCCCTGGAATTCAAGAGATTTGAGGCAACATCCTACCTTCCAGAGGTTGCCAGACCTCCTCAGACATGGCGAATGATCTGTTGGAGATGACTGAGAAGACAAGGTATTTATACAAACATTATTTTAATCCTACCAAAGGTTTGGGTTTGTTTCAATGTTTTGGTCAGAGAGCCAGTCCATTTCTTATTTTATCCAATCCACCCTTCTTTACAGGGGACACTACTGATATGATAAAAGGGACACGCCAGCCATATTAAATGAATATCAAGCAAGACAGAAGAGACTTCTGCAGAAAGCCTGCTTTCTTACAAAATGAGTTTTGCCAAGTTTACAAGAATCATGAGTTGAATTATCCAATTTGATCATGAATGTTGCACATTTTGGTTCAAAGAAATGGTGAATAAAGTTTGCAATGTGCCTTAGACTATGTAAACAAGTGGCATAGAGGTTGCTCTAAGTCAGGGATGACCAACCTGTGGCTCCGGAGCCGCATGCGGCTCTTCAGACGTTAATATGCGGCTCCTTGTCTAGGCACCAACTCCGGGCTGGAGCTACAGGCGCCAACTGTCCAATGTTCCGAAGGGTGCTCACTGCTCAACCCCTGGCTCTGCCACAGGCCCTGCCCCCACTCCACCCCTTCCTCTGAGCCTGCCGTGGCCTTGCTCCTCCCCCCAGCCCACAGCCTCCTGTACGCCATGAAACAGCTGATCGGGAGGTGCAGGGAGAGAGGGGAAGGTGCTTACTGACAGGGCTGCCAGTGGGTGGGAGGCGCTGGGAGCGGGGTCGGGGAGCTGATGGGGCGCTGCTGACGTATTACTGTGGCTCTTTGGCAATGTACATTGGTAAATTCTGGCTCCTTCTCAGACTCGGGTTGGCCACCCCTACTCTAAGTATTCACAGAACAATCTGCCTGTCTCTGGTTTGTTTTTTCCTCCTTTGATTTTCTCTTTTAGAGTGCTATTCTTTGTTTTAGTTATTTGGTTAGGTTTTAATTTTTTTTCCCCTCAACAAAGAATCGTAGAACCACTTTCTTATAGCCATGAACTTTAAACATCTGGCCAGAAGTCTGTATTGATCTTCAACTGATTGTACTTAAGCCAATACTTCTGAAACTAAAGAACTCTATAATCACCTATAATTGCTGGACACTGCCACTGAAGAAAGGACAACATGAGTGGACCTGAAGAATTAACTGGACTTGTATGTACCCTCAGTGTATGTAATAGCTGCTTCCTAAGTGGATGGCCATGAAACGATCAGGAAGAAGGTTTAATGGACAATCAGTGATTCAGCATAAAGGAACTAGATGATTCAGTTTATTTAATAGGTCCTGTTTTCCTTTTCTTTGTTTCCTTTTTCTCATGCTTGTCTATTTGTCCCAGAATTAATTGTTAGGATGGCACATAGTTTCATGGAGGAGAGTTACTCTAATTCAGAGGTTCTCAAACTGGGGATCAGGACCCCTGGGGGGGGTTGTGAGGTTATTACATTGAGGGTCGCGAGCTGCCAGCCTCCACTGTAAACCCCGCTTTGCCTCCAGCATTTATAATTATGTTAAATGTACAAAAAAGTGTTTTTAATTTATAAGGGGGGGGTCACACTCAGAGGCTTGCTATGTGAAAGGGGTCACCAGCACAAAAGTTTGAGAACCACTGCTCTAATTAAACTGTGAAACGATTACAGACTTGTGTTTTTAATTTCTCTCGTCAGTTGAAGGAACTGAGAGGTGTTAACATCAAAATATGCTATGCTCAGAGTACACTAAAAGAATACGATGCAATCCAACTTCTTATTTATTATAATATGGCCAATTAATAAATGCATGGCTCTGACCTGTAAAAAGAACAGAGAAGAAGAGAAATTTTCAGAAACAGAGCGAAGACACAGGGAGAGACTGAATAGAGTGAAATGAGATAATAAAGAGAAAGAAGAGAGGGAAACTGTGCCAAGAAAAGGGGGAACGGAAAAGAGAAAAGGCAAAGGAAATGTAAGAAAAGTCAAAAAATAAAAACAATTTTATACATGTGATGGTTTGTATTTTGCTGCATTTCTTTGGCAGATATACCACTAGTTCTGTCAATTTGCAGGATAAAGGGTGGTGCAGTAAGAGAAGTTTGTGGTGAAGGGACTGGCATCTCATTGGTCCCAGGCATGGAACTAGTTTAATGTTACTGACAATATATGTGTGCACACAACTTATTGGGTATGTAGAGTATAAATGAGCCAGGTTCTACTCTATCCGTATTGCTGACAGAGGCAGGAGGTATTTTCAAGTACTGACACTAATCTTTAGGGGACGTAGGGTTTCCAGCGATGTACTGACTATCTTCCCCTTCTGGCCATTGTATGTTCATGGTAGAGATGAACCTAAATGAAGACTAGAGAACCAAGTATCTCTGAACTTTGAGGATCTTAAGATCTGGTTGAGCTTTTTACTGCCCTACAGCTTTATCACAGAGTGACACGGTGCAAACTATGAGGAAGTTCAAAAGTTTATCCAAATCAGAACTTAGTATTTTAGGAACATGTCTAATTCAGATGGACAATTTGAAGTATGCACCAAGCATTCAATAACTATGTGTGTGTTATATTAAAGATCTCCCTTAAAACAATTTAGCATAGAAACCACAGTGCAGATGGGTGGATAAAGCTATTGAGTTCAAATACAAGAGTGGATTACAATAGGTGAATAGGGAACTGAGGGCGGAATACTTGCGGCACCACCCTAAATTTCCTTTTAACTTACTTAGTCAGGCACATATCCATACAACAAAAATAAATGCAACATCCATGTCCAGATTTACTTGTCTCTTAAAAAAAATATAGAGGAAACATCTTTAATACAGTTTCAATGCATTTACTTTACTCCTGTAGACGGCTTTTAAAATGTAGGGATGATAAAGGCAAAAGAAGGAGGAAACTAACTACATGATACTAAATAATATGTACAAATATTAGAATTCACATACACATTATGAAGATGTTACTCACCCTTAGTATCAAAGCATGTTGCAGCAGAGAGGATCTTGATGATGATGTCAATATACCTCTACAGATGAGGTCCATGGGGTCTGACTCTGACCAGGTTATTTTTTGAGCAATAGAGCCAGCTATTCAAGGGTGTTCAGCTCCTCTTGGTCTCAGTGGCGGCTGCTGAGAGAGGAGCTCTTTTGAAAATCTGGCCAACAATGACGGGCACAAATATCAGACACCTGACTCTGAAGAGGCCTTGTTCTTAGGAGCAGGGCACCTAACTGCCATTTGTGTCTTTGAAAATCTCCCCCTAAGTTATGAAAATTTAAGGTTTGTCTACACAGTGTTGGGATTCCCTCTGAGACCTTTTCCACTGGGCTTATCCAAAACACCTCATCCAGTTTTGGGAGAATACTTCATCTGGTTCTCTGCAGCCCAAGAAATCAGTTCAACTCCAGACTCATCACTGTGGTTTCTTTTTTGGCATTCAATCAAACTACACTTGAGTTGAACAGGCTCAAGTGTAGCAGGTGGGTACAGGGTATAACCACACATCCAACATACAAAATCATGAAACAGCTTATATACACACTTACATGTAATACTATTGGTTAATACCTCATTTCACACACGTTATGACTGGTCAACTAATTTTTGTAACCAGTACCTGTACAGATCATGAACTGCCTACCAGCTGCAAAGTCTTCTAGTAAGCAAAACTGCAGCTGCAAGCTTATCATACATTACTCTTCTTTAATCTACTAACTACATGTTATTTACAAGGCCACTAGTGAATTTATGCTGTGTCCATTGTTAACCTCATTTTCCTTACTTCTGTTTTCTTTCATTGTTCAGCCAAGGCCTACACACAGTGCTTTAGTCTGCACCAGAGAGGTGTAAATTTTAGTCCATAGTAGCATGGTCCTCACTAACTGACCCAGGTGGACCCTGCTGGAACACATTACATGTTCCCTAGTGTGTGTGAATGTAGTTCTATTTCAAACAGTTCTACAAATACATGCTAGGGAGCTTTTAGTGCATGCCAGCAGAGTCCATGCAAGCCAGTTAGTGCACAACATGCTGGGGTACATTAGAATTTACACTGCAGCCAGTACAGACTAAAGCAATGTGTAGACGAGCTCTGAGATGACTTTGGTAAAGTTAATCCTGACTTACGCGGCTATACAGGAGAGGAGAATCTGACACTAGGTCTCCTCAAATTCTTCTTTTTTCCTAAGTTTACTCTCTTATTCAACCAGCTCTCCCATTATGGAATATTTAAACTGCTTGGCGATTTCAATTTCTTTTAGTTACAGCATTCACTGTCAGCAGGAACTTTTCTGTGGCCTCTTTCTGTGCATCTGGCTCTCTAGATACCAGATACAAACACAAAGAATTCTGTGTCACTGGGATTACAGCTGCCTAATTTATTTTTTCAGCTTTTTTACTTCTTCCTGCTAGGTATGGACCACAGGTCATTGCCCTAGCATGTGTGTTAAGTTTCTCTTCTCCCTGTAGTTCCAGTTCAGTGACTGTCTGATGGTTGAGGAAGAAAGCGTTTTCTGCTGAGTGCAGATTCCTAGGTTTAAAATACTTCCACAGCTCTACTTCTCACTGGAATATAGTCCTGCTTGTAGGGAGTTACTTTCAAGGAGTCACTGAACACATTCAATCAGATTTCAAACCAACTCATTCTTCACAGGGTTGAAATTCACTCACACAATTTCTTTTTGAAGCAGCGCCTCTGTGACTTATTAGCTAGGGAGAGGGAGCAGAAGTGAAGAGAAGGCCTGGGGGCAACAGCAACATACCAGTGACTGGGACAATGGTCTTCCTCTGAGGCAGGCACATGGAACTGGGCATTAAGAGCCTCTGTGTTCTAATCCCAACTCTGCTACTTGCTTGCTTTGTGGCCTTGACCAAGTTAACGAACCTCTCTTTGCCTCAGTTTCTCCATCTGTAAAACTGTGTCCACATATCTATTCAGGGGACACCATCATAGGGCCTAATCACACCAGCCACACTATCAGAGGCTCGTTCACCTGCACATCTACCAATGTGATGTATGCCATCCTGTGCCGGTGATGCCCCTCTGCCGTGTACATTGGTTAGGTTGGACAGTCTCTGCGAGAAGGAGTGGATGGACACAGATCAGATTTCAGGATTTATGGCATTCAAAGATCGGTTGGAGAACACTTCAATCTCTTTGGTCACTTGATTACAGACCTAAGGGTTGCAATTCTTCAACAGGAAGACTTCAGGAGGAGACTCCAACAAGAGACTGCTGAATTGGAATTAATTTGCAAACTGGATACAATTAACTTAGGCTTGAATAGAGACTGGGAGTGGATGTGTCATTACACAAAGTAAAACTATTTCCCCATGTTTATTCCCCCCCTCCACCCCCCACTGTTCCTCAGATGTTCTTATCAACTGCTGGAAATGGCCCACCTTGATTATCACTACAAAAGGTCATCCTACCCCCCCCCCCCCCCGCTCTCCTGCTGGTAATAGCTCACCTTACCTGACCACTCTTGTTACAGTGTGTATGGTAACACCCATTGTTTCATGTTCTCTATGTATATAAATCTCCCCACTGTATTTTCCACTGAATGCGTCCGATGAAGTGAGCTGTAGCTCACGAAAGCTTATGCTCAAATAAATTTGTTAGTCTCTAAGGTGCCACAAGTACTCCTTTTCTTTTTGAGAATACAGACTAATATGGCTGCTACTCTGAAACCTGACTTTATGGAGGATGACTGAAATTCGGATTGCTACAGAGCTTCTAATGTTTTCCCTCCAAGCCTCAGTGAAGATACTATACTTTGGAAGTTGCAGTGTACAAAGGCACAGTATGCCTGCTGAGTAAGAAATTAGTCTGACAGTTGTTAGGATATAGATATTCAGGCCTGTCTGCAAAGGCCTATATTTTAAGAATTTAGGTTTATTCTCATCACTTAGCTAGTTATAGAAGTATAAAAGAATCAAAATCACAATCTGCCTGTTTATGGGCCTTCAATGTGATATATGCCATGTGCCAGCAATGCCCTTCTGCCATGTACATTGGCCAAACCAGACAGTCTCTATGCAAAAGAATAAATGGACACAAATCTGACATCAGGAATCATAACATTCAAAAACCAGTAGGAGAACACTTCAAACTCTCTGGCCACTCAGTAAAAGATTTAAGGGTGGCAATTTTGCAACAGAAAAGCTTCAAAAACAGACTCCAATGAGAAACTGCTGAGCTTGAATTAATATGCAAACTAGATACCATTAACTTGGGTTTGAATAGAGACTGGGAGTGGCTGGGTCATTACACATATTGATTCTATTTCCCTAAGTTAAGTAGCCTCACACCTTCTTGTCAACTGTCTAAATGGGCCATCTTGATTATCACTACAAAAATTTTTTTCTCCAGCTGATTATAGCTCATCTTAACTAATTAGCCTCTCACAGTTTGTATGGCAACTTCCAACTTATCTGTGTGTGTGTGTGTATATATGTATGTGTTTATGTGTATATATGTATGTGTTTATGTATATATATACACACACACACACACACACAATATCTTCTTACTATATGTTCCATTCTATGCATCCGATGAAGTGGACTGTAGCCCACGAAAGCTTATGCTCTAATAAATTTGTTAGTCTCTAAGGTGCCACAAGTACTCCTGTTCTTTTCTCTTACAGTGACAGTCTGAGGCCCTGTTCTTAGGCTAAGATCTTTGGCTAAACAGCAAAGGCAGCCATAAGCTGGGAAGTGTATGGTCACATCCTCACATTCCAAACTAGTCATATTGAAATAAGGCAATCTGGGGCTGTTAGAAAGGTGATCTGATCTATCACCTCCAGAGAAAGGGAAGAGCCTAGAAGATGTAAAAGGAAGTTTAGTTTGATAGTTTTCTGTTTGGTAAGAACTCACTTATCAATAGACACAGCTGGGAAACACTTATGCCTGTTTATGGGCCTTCTCTTACAATGTGATATATGCCATCATGTGCCAGCAATGCCCCTCTGCCATGTACATTGGCCAAACCGGACAGTCTCCACACAAAAGAATAAAGGGACACAAATTTGACATCAGGAATCATAACATTCAAAAACCAGTAGGAGAATGCATCCGATGAAGTGAGCTGTAGCTCACGAAAGTTTATGCTCAAATAAATTTGTTAGTCTCTAAGGTGCCACAAGTCCTCCTTTTCTTTTTGCGGATACAGACTAACATGGCTGCTACTCCGAAACCTGTCACTTATGTCTTTATAGATGTAGTTGTGAAATCCTCACTTCTGTATTGTTTTGTCATTATAGTTCCCACTTTGCTATTGTTTATTTGCATGGTCTCTGTTTGGTTCTGTGATTGTTTCTGTCTGCTGTATAATTAATTTTGCTGGGTGTAAACTAATTAAGGTGGTGGGATATAATTGGTTGGCTAATCATGTTACAATATGTTAGGATTGGTTAGTTAAATTTCAGTAAAATGATTGGTTAAGGTATAGCTAAGCAGAACTCAAGTTTTACTATATAGTCTGCAGTCAATCAAGAAGTAAGGGGGGGAATGGAAACAGGGAATGGGGGTGGAGAAATTGGAATCATGTTTTGCTAAGGGGGGGGATGGGAACAGGGAATGGGAACAGGGACTCAGGTAAGGCTCTGTGGTGTCAGAGCTGGAAAGGGGGACACTGAGGAAGGAAACTGGAATCATGCGTGCTGGAAGTTCACCCCAATAAACATCCAATTGTTTGCACCTTTGGACTTCGGGTATTGTTGCTCTCTGTTCATGCGAGAAGGACCAGGGAAGTAAACGGGTGAAGGAATAAGCCCCTAGCAACAGTCTTGATGGAAATTACAACACATAGGGATGTCATCCTGGCTGGAACTGAAGTTGGTTATGCAATAGCTACTCGGTGAGGAGAGTTCAGGGCACAGCAAGCCTTAACTCTCCTTGACTTTTTTCAGAGTAACAGCGGTGTTAGTCTGTATTCACAAAAAGAAAAGGAGTACTTGTGGCACCTTAGAGACTAACCAATTTATTTGAGCATAAGCTTTCGTGAAGCTCACAAAAGCTTATGCTCAAATAAATTGGTTAGTCTCTAAGGTGCCACAAGTACTCCTTTTCTTTTCTCCTTGACTTTGTGAGGCAAAGTCTGACACAGCATGCTATTGTAACCTAGC